ACATGTTGTTGTTTATTTGCATGGAGTTCGAGCTGTGGTTCACGGATATGAAATTGAATTAGATACTTTTTAGAGGATTTTCATTTGACAGACACTTTTATCCAAAAACGTACATTTCTTTGTCAGTTCTTGCTTTCCCTGAGTTTTTTTTTTGCGTTGTTACTGCAATGCACTATCAGCTGAGCCGCATTTACCCCCCGCCCCAATGCTGATGTGTTATTCTTTTAATTATATCTACATTTAAAATATATTCTTATTATCAGTTTGTGAATTTAGCGATGAATTAAAAACATGTCTATTTCGTTGTTCTTCCACATTTCAGATTCATGTCTGGCAGAGAATGGCGCTCTGAAGGTGAACAAGCACCTGCAGGTAGAAGGGTGTGAAAATGTGTATGCCGTAGGTGACTGTGCCAACATCGATGAACCCAAGATGGCTTATCATGCTGGGCTACATGCTGGAGTAGCTGCCACCAACATCATCAACAGCCTGACGGGGAAAGCTTTGACCTCGTATAACACGGGTAAATCCCTGGGTTCACTAGAAACTATCTAGCTGATCATGTGATCTACATGGAGAACTTCCACTTCAGCAGCATAAGGGTGTCTCAGGGCCATGAAAGGGGACCTCACAAAACTGTTAACAATTAACAAACAACAAACAAACTATGGTGTATTTCTCCACCATGGTTTTGTGAAAAAAAAAAAAAGTTTTGTCCCTTCGGAAATGGTTGTGATCCTGTCGGAAACCGTTCGAATATTGGTTAGTGCAACTGTAAACCCAACAACAAGAACATTTTGAAACCTCAGAAATGGTTTGACTTGCTCAGGAACATCCAAACAACTGTTGCCAACAATTTGATCCTTGTGGACCGTAAAACGAGAGATAGAAAGCGTACATTCACGAGCAAGCGAGGGTGGAGAGGGGTAGTGATTGGTTGAAGCTTCTGAGTCGTAGATTGTGGCTGTTAATCTAATAATGAATCACATAAATCTACTTTACGCATGGTTAAATATTAGCAGAAATATTTCTATCTAACTTTTCTTTGAGGGATGGTTGCCTGTCTTAAAAGGGCAGGGCACCACCCTAATTGAACAATAGGGGAAACACTGCAACAGTTATCTCTAATGACTTCAGCTGACCCAATTGATTCTGGCTCTAAAATAATGCAGCCATCTCCTGAAGTTTAAACGGTAGTGCTATGTGTAGTTTCTTGATAATGCCGCACAGCTTTCCTCTGGCTCAGTTGGTAGAGCATTACGCTAACAACGGTAAAGGTGTGGGTTCAAATCCTAGAGAACTGAGAATCCTAGAGAAAAAAATGTGTTCATTAACTCAAAAGTCACCTTTGATGAAAGCGTCTGCCAAACGCATAAATGTAAATGTTTGCAAGGTCCATTATAGGCCCTTCCATAAGGAAGTGTGGTTTTAAAGAATGTTATTTTGTAGCAAAACTAATGTCCTTTACCGCTTCAGACCTGAATTATCTTCCAATTTTCATAATCAGGGCTCCCAAAAACGAGACAAGAGTTATTCCACCAAATGGGAGTAACTATTCAAAATGTCTTTTTTTACTCAATTTCAGATTCCAGTAGCAAACATACTTAAGTATGCAAATGAGTATTGCTCCATTAAGTAACTTGTTTACATTTTTAATATTGAATTTATCATCAAAAGATGGGTGCCCCTTTTTGTTGTTACTAACCCTCTTGTTATTCTTTCTATAACAGGACTGAGTAAAAAAAATATTTGACATAATTTGAGTAACAGGACAGTATTTTTTTTTAAATGACACTCCAAGATATAATCACAAAATCATCAAATATGTAAATGAGAAAATGTGAGAACTTACCTTAACCACGACCTTCTATTGATCCAAGCGATGCAACTTCCTGTTGAAAAACTGACTTGTGAAAATTCCATATAGGGTATGGGTTAGCAGAAATTGGAAAAAAGCTGGGGACATGACTCTCTATGAAAGTTATATATTATGTATTTGTAAAGTTATGTATCTTTATATTTTATGTTATAAAGTTATGTATTTGAAACAGACATTATAAATGGATTTACACATCAATGAAAACGAAAGGGTTTTTTTATGTTTAAGATGATTTTTTTTTGGCCGTAGCCTTTATTGATTTTTTCTTAATGGAAAGGACAGTGGAGATTGACAGGAAATTAGAAGAAGAGAGAATGGGGTGGAATGGGAAAGACAACGGGCACAGGATTCAAACTCGCGTCTGCCATGTGCAACCGCACATATGTGTCCTGCGCACTAACACTACACCACGCCGCAGGACGAAAGGTTATTTTTAAAAGATTGCCCAGGGACAGAAATGGCACCCATTCGGTGGTATGGCTGTCAGAGGGTAAATAAGGTTGGACCCGATTGCGAGACAAAATACAATTTATTATCAGCAGAGAGAAAAAAAGCAAACTACCCCAATGGGGAAAAGAGAGATCCTAAGGTCTAAAATCAGTCCAACAAAAAGGGGCTTCGTCAGAAGCTTCCGGAAGGCTGGAGCTGGTCTCTTAAAACACCATAAAACTGTACGGAGGCGTCTGGGATAATGTCCTGTCTCATAAAAAGGTTAAACCACATGCAGAGAAAGGCTGTGACAACAATATAACAAGGGAGCAATCAAGTAATACACCTGCAATCACTGATAAGGAAAGGGGAGACAGGTGAGGTTAAAACAGGAGATAGACATGATTGACACCAGGAGAAAAAAACACATTAATAAATGGATAACAAAAAAATGACACAAAGTCAAAGATCTAACAAAACAGTAAAAACTAAAGCTCATTACAATGGCTCATAAAATAATAAAAGGACGTCTGTTACACACTGTTGTGCTTCACAGTGAGGGTGAATGTAAAAATTAAACACTTTTAAAAATGAGAGACAGAGAGAGAGAGGGAGAGACCCACCCACCCAACAAACTAACTAACTAACTAACTCTCGGGACCCTCCCGCCTCCTCCAACCTTCTTTTGTTCTGAATGCAGCATGGTTTGTTTGTTGGTCGGGTGTTAGCATCTTCAATGTTTAATCTAAATAAAGCTGCATTTTATGTAATAACTTCTTAAACCTTGCTTCCAGAGTTGTCTATAGTGGGTTATGATTAATATTTTCACTAGCAATAATTGTACACCATTTTACATTTCGAGTCTGCCTAACGTGTATATTTATAAAGAAAAAACCTTTTTGAAATTGTTTCCAAACAAATCTTCAGGTTGAACAAACTAATTGTGGAAACAGAGTTACAGTGGTACTCATAAGTTTAGATGCTCTGGAAAAAGTTTTGATTCTTTTTCAGAAAATATAAAAGCCAATTATTGTCAAACAACTGTTTACCCTTTTTAAATGATAACAGAAACTTTCCAAATGACCCTTAATGTATTGTACCCCCACCCCTTACATTTATTCCCCCCAGACCAATGGATCTGTGTCTTGTGATCTCCACAGGTAACGTGTCTATGCTGATTGCCATGGGCAGGGATGCTGGAGTGGGTCAGTTCAATGGGTATAAGCTCCCCCGCTTCCTTGTCACCAAGGGTAAGAGTGAAGGACTGCTGCTGTGGAAGAGCTGGAGGGAAATGGGGCAGAAAGCCCCCAATTGACATTAGATTAACCATCAACGTTTACTCTAAAAGAACGTGAACCTCGCTGCCACAAAGTTCACTTCTTACATAAACAATATTAGCCATGAGCGACGTCTTAAACCATTTTTGTGAGATTAACACAGATGTGCTTTATTTAAACGAATATCATGTTTACACTGTCTTTTTGAACATTTTATGTATTTATATCTAATAAATCCTTATTGAAAATAATCAGTCTGGATTGGTTTTGACAAATTGGGGTTCATCCAGCAGAGGGCGCAGGATATCTTGTCAGAATCAAGTCTCAGAAGCTGCAGACTCACCCTCAGCATTACGGAACGCTGGCAAGGGTTTGAATTTTAATGCATTTGTTTTATTTAAAGGTCAGTATTTATCTGCCCTGTAAAACATGATTAGAAGTAAATTTGTCCTGAACTTCACTGAGGAGAGACTGAAATGGCAGCAGCACAAGGGAAACCCGGACAGTTTGTGGATGTAATTGAATTAGAACTTGAGGGTTGTGTAAGACATGCTGCAGAATTAAGAGCTACTGCATCATATTCCTAAACTCTGGAGTTAAATTCTGAAAAGCTGGAGAGTCCCAGTGCTGTAGCTGATAACAGAAATGCTCAGTTTTATTGAGTGAATGATGCTTTGTCATCAGGATGTTGATTCCTCAGAACAGACATGGATCATCCAAAAGCATGCATGAGGTTTTAGAAAGTTTCATTAATCGACTCAAAGAACCACATATAAACATTTGTTATTAATGAGCACATTAACATAGTGGTTAGTCTTTATATGTGAGCTGAAATACATGATTGAAATGATAAATGTGGTGGTGGTTTTCCCAAGATACCCACCACTCAAATGTATGGAAACCCATTTCCGCCAGGTAAAAAAAATATATGACTACAAAGTCGTTACAAAAGTCCATATTTTTACTATAAAAATGCAATTTTTGTTTACATTTTTACATACAAAAGTCGAAATTTGCATAAGGAAGCCCATTCTGAGAGACTGTCCATATCCTTGGAGATGTTTTTCAATGAAAGACGCCACCTCAGCATCATCCGTTTTGTTTTGTTTTGTTTTGTTTTGTTTTATCCACCAAAGCTGGTTCTTGCATAAAATCCTTATGCTTAGAGCAATTTCACGTCGTTCAGCTGAGCTTCTTGCTTTATCTCTTCGCGCTCATCACGCTCGTGTGTTTGATCATGGAGGTCAATAATCAACATCCAGATCGAAAGTTGAAATTTATCTCAAAATGTTGACTTTTTTTGTTTGTTTCTCAAAATCTCAACTTTTATTGTGGTTGCAATAATTATTTTCATTTTCTTATTAGGTATAAATATTGTAACTGTTTTAAATCCTTAATGCTTCAGTATTTTTCCTGCTTGACTATTCTTCCAGTTTTTGTGTACAGAGCGACCTGACATTTTTCATGACATTACCTTTGAACATTTAAGCTGCTAACTCTACGTGTTTCTGTAAACATGGTTGTCTCATCTATTAATTTGATTTGGGATCAGCCCATCTTAGTATTGTATTTAAGATTGATTGCCAAGCCCATAGGTTATGCAACCACGGCAATCCAACCAAAGCAACTCACTGTTCGATCTGCTATCTAAATCTCTGCATCGTAAATAAATACTTTGAGATTTTGTCAATTCATAAATCAACTCCTTGATATTTTTTTGCATCATTTTCCACCACATTATCTCAACTTTTTACTTTTTATTACAAAATTTTGACTTAAAATTTCAACTTTTTTTCAATTTTAAATTTTAAGTCAACATTTCAACAAGGGCTTAAAATGTCAACATTTTTATCTCTACATTTCTACCTTTTATCTCAATATGTTGACATTTTAAGCCCTTATTATTATTTTGAACTTCTTTTAAGACTTCTCTTGACTATTAACTCAGAGGTCAAGTGCTAAAATAGTTTCTTATTTCTTTAATGTAGGGCTGAAACGATTAGTCGACATTGTCGACAAATATTTGTGTTATCGAGTAGTCGTTTGATGTCATGTGACCTAATGTAAGGGTCTTGTGTCGCGATTTGAGCGCTACGGCGCTGTAGCACTAGAGTGTAATGCAGCTCTCCCGAATGCTACTGCGGTAGAAGAAAACTCAACGCAAATTATGATGGAGTGCAAACGAATCTGAACGAGTAAGGTGTGGGAAAGTTTTACTAAACTTAACCAAAAATGCTGTGCAATACATGCGAGGCGGAACTTTCACGGGAGCACAACGTGTATGTTGGAGCACTAAAAGAAGAAGCGTCC